AAAAGGCTTATGGTACTATCAGGGAGAAAAGAATGCATAGAAAACAAAACATGCAGCAAAGTTTTGGTGAAGTCTTTTTTTTTCTTAACATAAAAAAACATGTATACAACATTCTGTTCTCAATTTTACATATAGACGGCCTTGCAAAGTTTGAATGCCGAAAAAAAAATGAAAAGAATGCATGCAGTTTGATGTTAGTCATTGCTTTGACAGATCCAGGTAGTGACTTTTGAACTAGGTAACAAAGGTGCCAGGCAAGTACCAGGTGTAAACACAAGTGACAAGATTCTCAGCTTGAGAGCATTTTACTCCAAGCCAGATGAGCTCTGCCAAGCTTATTTTCTCAAGCAGTCCTCGTGAATTATATCAGTATCTTCCTCCAACAAGCAATTCACATCCTCCATAAAAAATGAGCAATCCAAATATAAAGAGAGAGAATGACATATCACAAAAAAACTCCATGAAACATCACTGACATAGACATAAAATATACAACAGCCTGAACCAGGATCACCAGATAAAAAATAAAATAAAAGGCTTAGAAGGGAAAGAAAAAATTGATCAAAATCAAAGATGAGGAAATCAAAAAGACTAACCAGATCTAGAATATAAAGACAAAGACATGTCCAACAGAATAATGAAGGAAACTACCTAACTCAGTACTTGTTTCAATGGAACTAGAGCTTTCACCTATGTGGCAAGCCAAACCTGAGAAGCAGCTTAAAAAGCTTTTCAAAAGTCACTGGCAGAGACAAAACTCCAGAGACTAAAAATATTAGCCTAATGGATGTCCTGTTGATAATAGGTGTAGATGGAAAGGAACTAAAATTGACTCAAAACACTGTCACATACATCTAAGATACAGGCAGACCATCTAACCAAAAAGACTACAGCCAATCAATTACTAAACAAATGAAGACAGTTTGAACAGAAAATCTCTTCCAAGGAAGCAGCTGCAAAACACCCAGCCAACTCATTATTTATCATATAACTGTGTAGATAAATAATATGCATGGATCACACAGCAGATTACCTCAGATGGTCAAAAGTAGACAGTAAAAACTGTATGAACTAGGATATGAGGCCATCCAAAACAAAAGGATGAAAAGTATGGTAGCTCAAAAAAAAAAGATTCATTGACTATCCCCAAAGGTTTACAACAATGTAATAAAAGGATCTGATCTTATGCAAGTGACTTTCACTCTCCTCTCTCTGACTTCTTACTGAAAATGTTTCAACTGATCCAGAATATCTGGAGAGTGGCAGTTCTTGTATAAGAGAAGCAATCTACAGGTGAAAAAGAGATCATAACCAGAAAACTTAGTAAAAATAGAAATGTGTATTAAAAAAAACCTCAATGCAAAGACAAACAGAATCTAGTTAATGGTCATTAAAAAATAGTTATAGTACAATTGAACAGTTACTGACTGGTTGTGAAGGAAACAAATGACCTATTGCACAAAATCACCAATCAATAACTTTTCATTCTATACCCTCCCCTTCTTTTGTTTTCAATTTTACTAAAATCTGATTAATTAGCACTGTTACATAATATATTTAGCCTAAATCCCTAAGTTCCTATAGGTAAACCTTAAAATTTAACATTTAAGTGAGGATTTTGATCTCATTGCAAGAATTAATAATAAAATCAACAACACTTAGAAATTGTTTAATTTTCAAAAAATAACAGCTCATCATCATGTTATTATACTAATAAATATATATAAAGTAAACACCATCTAAATTCAACTTAAAATTTGCCAAGAATTCTGGCAAGATTTCTGATGTTGTTGGTAAATTAGACCTAAATGAATCAGTGTTTTCACTGTGCAGCAAGACATTGTCTGCAAAGTTCTTCTGCCTAAATGAGTCTGCAGCTCTTCATCTGGAAGTAACTGAAATCTTAAGCCATAAGAAAGGTCCACATATATTTCATAGGTTTTGAGCAAATTATTTGTAATTAGGCCTAAATGAATCAAAGTTTTTTAAATAGGCTACAACAAACTGCTGTCTGCAAAGTTCTGCTATGATGTCACACATACATGGCAATGATTTTGACAACCAAGCAACAATGATGCAATTTGTTGCCCAGTTTCAAGCCAACATTAAATGTTTCATATCACATAATGTGCTCTTAACCAATCCTGGCAAAGAATTCATGCTAGGGGTTAAAATAAATATTTTTGATCAAAGGATTTGTAAGTCAAGTAAAGCACAGTCAAATGGTTACCCCATTTGGTTCACTTTTTATCAAATAGTTAGGTAGGACTACACATCAGTAAACAACCACAGTATAAGAACTAAACATATAAATAAATCACATGCAACATTCCTTAAGCAATTAAGCTAATGAAAACCCTAAAATAGGTAGCCATTTTTACCAACAAGTTATTATCTTTGACTAACCTGATCTTTTATTTCTTCTAATGTCATAGCATTCTGTTTTTGTTTCATTTCTTGTTCTCTTCTTAATCTCTCTATTGCAGCATCTGCTTCTTGCTCTATAAGAGATAACTCACAAATTCAAGTCCCACCATTGATAATTATCATAAAGCAAACTTACAGTATGACAGAACCCAACAGATCCTTAGCACATAATAGATGGCCCATGAATCACTATCAGCCCACAGAATCATGATTTCTGGTACCCCTTCATTAAAAGTTCTAGCAAAACATTTTAATGATACCATTAAAATTTGCTTTTATTCAATGCTTAAAATATGTAATCAGCTATTTATTGGTTTGTGTGCTTAATCTGTTGTTAAGAGCAAAGCAACACATCTGTGTTCTGTCCACCACGGGTATTAAAATCAAGTTTTTTGAATTATAAGCCTTCAAACTTACCGCTGAGCCACTGAGGACAATACCTATTGGTAAAGCTGCATTTCACTTTTTATTATTATTAAAGGAAGCACTACACCCTTGTTATCAATCTACCCCCTCCACCCCACCTCAAATTATCTTGGATTACTTTTGTAAACCACTAGCTGAAATAGCTTTATTCAAATAAAATAAAATAAAAAAAGTGGCAATTCATATAACTAATATCTTAGTTGTCAATAATTTCAACTGAGAAAATGGTTCTTCATAAAATAATTTGGAAATTTCATGTACTACTGCCTAATGAAGTCTACCACTCATCTCTTTCTTTTTCAAGCATGTCACTCCTTAACCAAATCTCTCTCATCCCCCCCCCTTCTTTTGTCTGACTGATACATTACATTTATTTTAATGGGTTAACTCTCTCTTATTATATTTTTATAAATGTTACTTCTCTCACGTCTTTTATCACTTCCATTTTGTATAATTAACTCACACATTTTCTGATGGATGGTTTTCCAATCAATGAACAATTTAAACATGTTACCGAATTTTCACTTTTCATACACTATAAATTTTTTCAATTATGTAACTCATCACAAGGTATTTAACGTAGTTTACAATATCAGAATGCCACTTGACATATAGCTTTCTCTGTGTATTACAGTTTATTTAAATGCATCACTCTCTCATGCAAATTACCTGTCAGCGGATTAACAAAAAATATATATTTAATTTAAAGAACTGATCTTTTGATGTGAAAGCAAAGATTTGGTTGAAAAATTCTAAACTTACCTTGTTTTTTCTTTTCTCTCTGTCTCATTATATGACTTTTTAATGCAGCCCACATAGCTAGGCTCATTTTTGGTCTTTCAATCAGTGTAGGCATGATGACAGATTTGTAAAAAACCTGACCTCTGCTTCAAAACCTTGAAAAATACCATAAATTAAAAAATAAAATCTATACAAAAACACAACACTTATAGACCTACATGCAAATGAATATATCTGTATTTCTAGTACTTCCCTAAAACATCAGTTTTTAAATTTTTACTAATCAATAATATAGAAATATGGTTACAACTACCTAGATAAAGTATTAAAATGCATTTGTGTCAGTGAGCATGATAATTCCCCACAAAATGCTTTGAAAACAAAAAAAAGTTTATTTTAGGATGATGTGTTACTTATATCCACTTTTAATACACACAACACCTTTAAACTATTTCACAAGCACGTCACTTTGACACAAGCAATTTAATTTCACATGTATAGCCACTCAAACTATAGTGTACATGTAATAATAATCATATCTACATAAACAAACTAATTATCCATACACATGACTCTTGTTACTTTTGCAAATAAGACATATTTTAGTAATATTGCAAAATATACTAAGCTCAATGCTACAATGTGTTGTGTTGGTAGAAATGGGATGGTCTGGAAGGGTCAAATGGTTCTGTTATCCCTTAGAAAGAAATGAATGCTATAGAGTTGTCCAGAAGAAAAAATAAGTTGAATATTAAAGTAACACCCAGTAAAAATAACAATCCAAGGTGAATTTGACACTAAAAAAAGGAACACTTCTATAGAGAGAAAATATCATATTATTAATAGTCAATGACCTTCTCTATATAGAATTAACATCTCCGATTATGTATAGCTCAAACTGCAGTTCATAAGTAGTACTGAATTATATTTGACTTAATTATGAAAGTTCAGTTCTGAGGGCCCCCCTACAAAATTTGCCCCATGCCCCTCAAGTCCTTAATTCAATACTGATTGGGACAATGACAGCCTACCCCATTGCCCCCAGTACTTGTGTAATTATCTTTACTAATTTTAAGGCTTAACCCAACTTTTTAAAAATGGCAATTGACCAGTCCACTGTTATCTATCACAGCCAATAACAACACAAGTAACTCATGTGCATTTGTGTGGTTGGTAACAGAATGAAAAGTTGACATATTTTAAAAGCATTAATAAAATAAAGAGATCTTGTCACCTGACTTTGTTATCAAATGTTAAACACAAAAACTTGATAATTTATTTTTTAAAAAGTGTAAAGATTACAACTATTTTGTAGAAGAATACATGAAAAAATATAGTTGTCACCTACAGGTGGTTTTAATGGCAAGGACAAAAATAAAGTTATTATATTTGTGTACCTTCAAATGATAAATTCTCAATCATTGTTGTTAAAAAAACTATTGAATATAAAGTGAAAACGGTAGACAAAAATAGAATATATTCACTTCACTGCTGTTATGATTTGAACACTTCTATTTTTAAGCTGGTGAAGCATGATGATAATTATGTTTGTCACAATACATTACTAATAATATTGTATAAGAGGCCTAATACTATTGTCTTATGATAAGTATATTATTTTATTAATAGCTGAAAATCCCCTTTGCCGAACTTTTAAAAATCATTAGGCTTGAAACTGAACATAATTTTGTGTTGAAACTTTCTTTCTGAATCTCTTCAAATTTTATGAATACACAAACTATGTATTGTTTAATTTGTTTTATCCTTTGAAAACTTTTGTCACATTATATTTTCATCAGCCATTTTACTTTTGGTATATCTTGTCTTTACATTTAGGTATGCAACAGAACCTCTGACCCATTTTCAAGTTAAGGATTTATTTGCAAATGATTTCTTAAAATAAAAATTATACTAATTCGATTTTAATACTATTTGTTTTATGCTATAAAATATACTACTAAAACATTACCCATTATCATAAATTAATAAGAATTTCCCACTAATTTTGTCTTTCAAGTTTAATTCTACAAACATGTCATTACCAGGTTACACTTATTACTATTAGCTTGACCTATTACATAGTTTTTACTGCAGTCACTAGAGTAAAGGTGAAGAAAGAATTACAATTACACTTGTCAAAGCCCCTGCAAAATGCATTTTGGGTATCAAAAAAATTCAGGAAATGCTCAAACGGTATAAAAATACAGATTTAAGTTATCCATTTCATGTAAATTTTAACTCCTGATTCGGGATCTACAAACTCAGAAATACAAAATAAATTGATGGTTGGTCACGTCGTTTGGATTCAACTTACAAGTTACTCCAAGTTTCAACTTACGTGATTTTTTTTCAACAGAAGTCAATAAAAGATTCTTCAAATATTTTATGTCGTTGGTATAAGCACTAAACTACTAATACTATTAGTATTACTATTTCTTTATCATTATTAGTAATAGTAGTTAGACTCGTTTGCTAGATTAGGCCTAGCCATATTAGCCCAAACACAAATGTGTTTTTAGGATATAAATTCGTTAATAATAACCGAATAAGCTAACCATTTACACTTACGCACAAAAATAATTTAATCTGATTTTCTGTGCAAAATATTCATAATGTCGCAAATGTTAAAATAACTCACCATAAAAAAAAACTTTTTAACTTTTCTAATTCTGATGATAAATTCTGACATTCAATAGTAAATTACTGAATGTTATGAAATACAAAATTGAAAAAAAAAAAAAGGTAAGTTATAATAGTGAATACAGTGAAATTCTTATAAAAGAGATTTGAATAAAAACACCGATAAGATCAAAAATACACATGAAATATACACATTTTACTTCCTAGAAGTTTCCTAATTTTGTAGAAGAACTAAATTTAACTGTGATAATTCTGACCACTATATACTAACAAGTTATTCCGACCTTAGAGATAATTTTTATCTCTATGATTCCGACATAACACACAGCAAGCTTCTTCCAATTAACTTTTATATTATTATTAATTAATTTTTGCATGGTTAGCGTTCTCGAACTATGAATCCGATGATTTACGGTTTGCAGCTCGTTCTCGCAAAAACATAGTTCCACTAAGGAACTTGATAAATAAATGCAGTGTTTGAAATTTAATAGTCTAATATTAAAGTCTTATGACTTCGTCAATTTGGAAAAGCCGTTCGCAACTCTAGCAATTGTTGTTGTAACAAATGATTCATACAGTATTCCAACCACAACTATGTTATATGAGACTCGTTGGGCATGAAATGACCTGATGGTTAGGGTGCTCGACTCGCAACTTTCATGTCGTGGATTTTAATCTCCATTACCGATCATGCTCACCTTTTCAACCGTGGGAGCGTTTATAATGTAACTATTAATCCCACTCTTCGTTGTTAAGAAAGTAGTCCAAGAATTGGCTTCCATCTAGCCTATCACTGCTGAATTAAGGACAGGTAGCACAGATAGCCCTCGAGTAGCTTTGCGCGAAATTCAAAACAAACCAAATCAGATGCGTCCCCTCATATTAATTTATAACTTTTAACAGACTAATCGTGAATTAACCAGTTTTAGTCAGCATTTATTAGCTTTAGTTTATTCTAGTTAATTTGTACTATCTTTTATTTAAATATAATTTTCTGTCTTTTACATTTCACCCACCAGTGACGTAGCGGTAAATTTAAAGGCTTATAACACTAAAAACCTGG